GGTGGTGGGATGGTGGTGGGATGGTGGTGGGATGGTGGTGGGATGGTGGTGGGATGGTGGTGGGATGGTGGTGGGATGGTGGTGAGATGGTGGTGGGATGGTGGTGGGATGGTGGTGGGATGGTGGTGGGATGGTGGTGGGATGGTGGTGGGATGGTGGTGGGATGGTGGTGGGTTGGTGCAGGGAGGGTGGTGGGATGGTGGTGGGATGGTGGTGGGATGGTGGTGGGATTGTGGTGGGATGGTGGTGGGATGGTGGTGGGATGGTGGTGGGTTGGTGCAGGGAGGGTGGTGGGATGGTGGTGGGTTGGTGCAGGGAGGGTGGTGGGATGGTGGTGGGATGGTGGTGGGATGGTGGTGGGATTGTGGTGGGATGGTGGTGGGATGGTGGTGGGATGGTGGTGGGTTGGTGCAGGGAGGGTGGTGGGATGGTGGTGGGATGGTGGTGGGATGGTGGTGAGATGGTGGTGGGTTGGTGCAGGGAGGGTGGTGGGATGGTGGTGGGATGGTGGTGGGATGGTGGTGGGTTGGTGCAGGCAGGGTGGTGGGATGGTGCAGGGAGGGTGGTGGGATTGTGCAGGGAGGGTGGTGGGATGGTGGTGGGATGGTGCAGGCAGGGTGGTGGGATGGTGCAGGGAGGGTGGTGGGATGGTGGTGGGATGGTGGTGGGTTGGTGCAGGCAGGGTGGTGGGTTGGTGCAGGGAGGGTGGTGGGATGGTGGTGGGATGGTGGTGGGATTGTGGTGGGTTGGTGCAGGCAGGGTGGTGGGATGGTGATGAGGGTTGTGTAGTGTGCAAGCACAAGTCAGTCATAGTGTATCTGAATTGTGAGACTATGCTGAGCTGCAGTCTGCAGTGGCGTACGCAAGGGGGGGGGGGGTTTAAAATCGGCCCAAAATTTCGCAACGACTCAGCCAGCCGCTGAATAAGCGGGGGGGGGGGGGGGGGGGTAAGGTCACCTTTTTTAGGTCAGTCATTGGCATAATTTTTTATTTTTTTTTTTTTTTTTTATTAAAAAAATCAAATCACAAGGGGGGGTTTCCAAAAAAACATACACATTAAAAAAAACTCAAGGGAGGGGGTTTAACCCCAAACCCCCCCCCCCCCTGCGTACGCGCCTGACTCCATGTGTACTATAGCTGCCCCTAATACAACCAGAGATTGCCGGGGTTAGACTTGGCTCAAGACTTCAGGAAATTGTATGAAATACAGCCTGTACTTGTCTATCCAGGAGAGAGGAGGCGAGAACTTCAGATGGGCATTATGCTTCAGTTAAAAAACTTGTCCTTATGCTAATTTTGCTCTGCAAAATTTCCCCCCCCCCCAAAAAAAAATAGACTGTCTTTCATTATTTTGTTAAAGCAAGAATGAGTTGAAAAAGCAAACATACATTAAAAGGGGGGAATACTTGAATTAAAGACCCTCCCCCCCCCCCCCCTTGCTATCAACTGAAAACACCAGTGTTAATCCTTCCAGTACATACCACCAAGCTTGCAAACACTAAACACAACACTAAGATTTCATGATACAAACATTTTACAATTGTATGTTTTTTTTTCTTATTATTTCATCTTGATCAAATATGTTCCATCATGAATATCAAAATTTCAAAATGTATTTGACAATTGTGAATTTCAAGGGAAAGGGAACCATTATGAGTCCAACAGTATACATACAAATAATAATTATCATATTGTATGATACAATACTTGGGCACTGAAAACTGCCTTCATCACTGCATGGGTTAATTGTAATGACATGCAGTATTTCTAATCAAAGTCTCTTGTCTGTTTGATCATGCAAGAAACCACTGAGTGATCAATGAGAAAAGGGATCACTCATTACTATAATCACATTAGACTGTATGCTCTATCTCATGTTCACGCTTAAAGATGAAGTTGAGTTCTGGTCGTGCAATTGCATTGTGAAAGAAACGGTGTGGAATCGATTAGAAATGGTTGATCATCTAGCATATAAGAATTTGTGTATATTGCAAGGTTCTGGAATCATCAAAATGATAAGAAATTTAGCCAAGTCTTGGTAAAGTTACAAACACTGTACACAGAAAGATGTATATTGGACTACACGAACATGTGGCGTAAAAATCCTACCCCAGAGTTTTACGATGTAACATGACATATTTAGAATATGAAGGCATTTGAAGAGCCATGCTTTTCAAGGAACATGTCTTATCTGATGTTCTTCCACACTTGCATAATAAGAATGATAACGCTCACAAATTATTTTTCACCTCTTCCCAGAACTCAACCTTCTCTTTAAAAGGAGATTGGTATGAATACAGTTTAACTCTTGCCTTTCTGTACATTTGCTCCTTTGCTAGTTATTGTGCATTTCTGCACACAAAAAAAATTGGCGGAAGGATTGCTGTGTACAATACAATGGTGTTGCAAAAAATAAAAATTTCTGGTCTTGATTAGCTCCATATAGCAACCCATGAAACACCAAGATTAATTAATCTTGCAGAGAGAACAGTTTGATAATCTTGAATAATCTTGAATATGAGGCGCGATAGCTCAGTCGGTAGAGCTGTGGTCTCGTAATCCGGTGACCCGGGTTCAAAACCAAGTCAATGCGCTAGTGCCCTTTGGTAAGGCATTAATCGTCATTACCAGGTTCCCTCAGAGAGGACCTAAAGCCGTCAGCCGTCTGGTTGCTTACTTACAAGCATTTATGCTTTCTTAGCAGTCAGGTAAAATAACCACCATCCATCAAATACAGAGTGGTTCAGGGAGATTACTTGTCAATTTGTGTAGGATAAAAAAGAGTCTAGAACTTCCCTCCAAATGTATTAACTGGAAACAAACTTTTCATGGAATGATTGAGTGACTGATTGTAGAATTTTAGCCGGATTGTATAAATGTATTGCTGAACCAAGCCAAAAGTTATAATGTTTGAAGAAAAATGAGATTAAAAGGGATACACTCAGTTGTACCAGAAATTGGCCAGGTAAATCTTACCAACAGCACAATAAGGATTAAAGGTAATGCAAAGTTTTGGGACATTTTGAAAATAGGCTGGGTGGTAATTCTTTACAATTTTGATATATTTGGAAGCCCCTGTTGATGTATTATCAGCACTAGAAAATTTAGCCCCTAAAACATTTTTGCTTTAGAGAAAAATTGAATTATAAATTTACAGGTGCTCCCAGTAAATTTCAAATAGCGCCTACATCCATCCAATGGTAGCTGTGAGCCTGCGATTATGAAAATCTCAGAATATACAGTTGTGATATATAATTTCCTAAGGGGATGGCCAATCGGTCAATTTTAGTCAAGAAACATTGTTTTATAGCTAAATTAATATCTTGACCTTGAGAGGGAGCTATATACAACATAAAGAGTTTATAATTTACCTTTTCATCATTTTAGACTAGATTTCAACCGCAACAGCGATCACTGAATATTGTAGGATCGCATATACTCCCAATATGTTAAAGATAAAGACCAGTGATGGTCATGCGATTGCATTGTGAAAGAAACGTTGTGAAATCGATCAGAAAAGGTTGATCATCTAGCATAGATGTACTGCAAGGTTCTGGAATCATCAAAATGATAAGAAATTTGTCCCAGTCTTCATAAAGTTACAGCACTGTACACAGAAAGATGTATATGGGACTACGCACACGTGCGCGACACATGCGTTTTTATCTCTCACACACCAATAGATAAACTAATTTACCAAATATATCAATTAGTAGGCGGTTTCCCGGCAAAATTTTTATCATCATGTATTATTCAAAACATATTCTTTCACATGATTGGTAATAAGAGCTTCCATTTCATTTTTTGAAATTGGGGCAAGTCCAATACTGGTTTTTACCTTTAATTGGAACCAAATTTATGACCCTATACCAAAACTTTGTATTACCTTTAACTGTGATGGAATACAGCAATTTCTAATCACTTGTTTTCTGTTTGATCAAGGTCTGAGCCATTGAGTGATGAGAAAAAGTTTGATTGTCATGAGAGGCTTACTCATCCAGTCATGCTTGTTAGCATGCACCCGAGCTGCATATTTCAAAGCGAAAGTTCACCTTGATATTGTGGTTATCTTTTCTTTTGTTTTTACTTTATTTTTTCTGGTCGCTGATGAATGAAAAAGAGCGGTTGCAAATCCATATTTAGTATTAGATCTCTAGGAACATAGCTGCAAAAAGAGTTTCATGAAGAAGAGCTGAAGGGGACATACTTGAAAAACTACCCTCAATCATCTTAAAACACCATTGAGATTTGTTAGTGATGATGAAAACCAGTATTTCTAATCATCTCTCTCTCTCTCTCTCTCTCCCTCTCTCTCTCTCTCTCTCTCTCTCCCTCATGTGTCCTTGATCATGCTGGGATTTAAGCCGATGAGTGATGAGAAAATGTTTAATCATAATTAGTCCAGGGTATTGTCTGTCTCTCCCAGTTTACTGATTTGACCAAGTCCATCCAAGTCTGTCCCATTAAAATCCTATCATGCTTGTAAGCATAAATATATCTAGCTGCACTTATCAACTAATGGAAAAGGTTAAAGAGAAGGATGAAGTTCTGGTACTGATAAAAAAGCAAAACATTTCATGAAATCCAACAAAATTTATGTTGAATGTTGAACTAACAGTGGGTAATAATAATTTTAACAATCTATAGTGATGTACCATAGCGATGCACTTTTGAAAGGTTTTATGAATATATCTGTTTACAGCCAGAAGGCTAAAATGTGTTAAAATATGTGAGTTAATGCCCCTCTGGCTCCAAACAGACAAATTGTTTCCCCAGTGCCCAGTTTTAGCTCCAGCTAACCTAATTAGCACACAGTGCATTGAAGGACTGTCAAGAAACTCTCAAAATATCAAAATAAAATGCTGAAACTGTTACCGGAAGTAAATTAACATATCCACCAGTTGTTATCTTTATTAATTGTTTACTTATATCCCTTTACCTTCAAAGAAAAAAAATGTTTTAAATCTTTGATCTTTTTCTCTCCTCCTTCCATTTGACAGGAAAGCCAGAGTATGACTTCCTTCGTCCACTAGCGTACCAGGACACAGATGTGGCTATCATCTGCTTTGATATCTCACAACCAACATCACTTGAATGCATCTCCCAGAAGGTATGTTGTCATGGTGATGATGATAATGGTGGTGGTCTCAGTGATGAGGGTGGTGATAATGATAATTAATCTAGGTTTAAGTACTGCTTAATACGGAAAACTGACTCTAAGCACTCTCATAGAAGTAAGTTATCATAGAGATGATGATGGTGGTGGTAGTGGTGATGATGATGATGATGATGGTGGTGGTGGTGGTGGTGGTGGTGGTGGTGATGATGATGGTGGTGGTGGTGGTGGTGGTGGTGGTGGTGGTGATGATGATGATGATGATGATGGTGGTGGTGGTGGTGGTGGTGGTGGTGGTGGTGGTGGTGGTGATGATGATGATGATGATGATGATGATGATGATGATGATGATGATGATGATGATGATGTTGATGATGAAGTTGATGATGATGATGATGATGATGAAGATGATGTTGATGATGATGATGGACGTTGTAGGGGTATTGGTGGTGATGGGTTAACATTGATGATGATCATGGTGATTGTGGTAGTGGTGGGGCTGGAGGCCTGGGAATGATGATGATACATGATGACCTTGATGATTGTGATGATAAATTGATGATGATGGTGATAATTTTCGTATCACATAATAGATGAATTAATCAAGATTAGAAAAGATTGGAGAATGTATGACATTTCTTTATGCTTCGATGAAGGTTTCCTGCATGGGTTATTTTAACAAAAAACGATTACTGATATTGTGCCATCATCACTTCATCACTTCAAAATATTTGGTTTGATTGTATTGGGCATTTAGTGAAATACCGGTATAAAATGCATAAAAGATCAGAATGTGAAAGCACAAAACAATTGTTGAGAAAGCATATGTTCATGTCATAACCTAGTCATAATGACATTAAACTTTAAAAGAAATTTGATCTGCATTGTAGCCCATTGCAAATCTCTGAGTGAGCACTGATTGTCTACTCAATATCTCATATTTGACCATCCATGAGGCCCTGTCTACACACAAGCCTCAAAACTGCTCATCTTTCAGAATTTTCCCAGATTTCATGCCGTTGTCATGGATATTTGCCTCTATGTGTGCATTCCACAGTGCAGACAGGTAAATTGAATTGAACTGTTGGGTAAGTGTTTTTTGCCACAGGGGGGCCTCCCGTCCGCTAATATTTGCATTATGTGACTGGAGGCATGCAATGTCACTTTCAATTCCAAATCTTCTCATCAAATTTCATGAGAGGAGATGAGTGCGGAGGTCTGCATTGGGGAGTTGGATTGTCGAGTGAAAATCATTGGATTACATGAGTGAGAGTACTATGTTTGAGAGAATGAGAGAGAAAGAGAGAAGATGGAGAGAGAGAGAGAGATAGAGAGAAAGTGATGAAAATGATGGAGAGAAGGAAAAGAATGGAAGGGATAGACAGAGAGATATTGTTAATGATGAAAATCATGAAGAGAGAGAGAGAGAGAGAGGGTGGGAGAAAGTTGTTAAAGGGATGGAGGGAGAGCGAGAGAGAAGGAAGAGAAAGAGAGAGAGAGAGAGAGAGAGAGAGAGAGAGAGAGAGAGAAGAGAGAAAAGGGGAAAATAAAGAGGAGCATATCATGGCAAGGTAACAAAGTTCATGAACATTTCATGCAAGAGGAAATTTCTGGTTTGACTGTTGGAGAGGAAGGGAGAGGAACAGAGAGAGATAGTAAGACAGTAAGGAGAGAGATAGACAGAGAGAAAAGAGATAGAGAAAGAAGGCTCGTTTATACTGTCAAATACCTCATTTTTAAAAATCGCGATGTTTTGCACTCCCGTTGACACTTATGCTGAAAAATCACTGACTGAAAAGTTCAGTGATGTTTTTGCGTGTTTTGGTTGGTAATGCGCATGTGCGGTTTTCCCAATGTAAAATGCGTCTTCGATCAACTGTTTTTATGCTTTCTACACAACAAAACAAGACAAAAGACTTGATGCATGGCTGATCATCAACGAAACAGAGTTAAGTCTTTTGACAACTCTCTTTGTTACTATGGCAGGCAGCCAGAAAAATCAAATTTGTTAAACCAAAGCAAGCATTACTTTAAACAAACTGACCTTTGTTATTCCTACCTCATTTTTCCTGATTGAGGTGTCATATGGAAGTGCAGATAATTGACTTTTTAGAAATGTGATTTTCTCTTTGAATTTCAGATACCGCCCGCCAAATGACTGTTTGGACCCTCTCTTCAAATTGGTTTTAATCACTCATGCGTGAAATATGCATCATATGAGTTGCATCAAATGAAAGAGAAAGATCTAAGCTTAACAAATATGTGTCATGTACTTATCATGATTGTGATTAAGTTATAACAAAGCATCAATAATTCTTGGTTTCCTTTTTTTCTGGGTATATAAACATGTTTATGATTTGATGCCCTTCTGGCTCACAGCTGACATTATATTATTTGAGATCCAAAACATAACTTATCACTAGGGTCATCAGTAGAGATTAGTCTTCCTTTTTTTCATGTCTAATCAATAATCATTTAGATTGTCTTTTTTTAAGATAAGCACATTACAGTCTTTTACTTCTCCTGTATCTGCTCTTTCTAAACAACTGTCATATTGTGTTGTTTAGAAAGATGATATATATGGGGTTGTTTTGAAATCCTCCTAAAGTTGTGAAGTATTTTTCATTATGTTGCATCTCTTTACACTTTCGGTTTTCTTCACAATTTGTTTTTCTTCCTTTTCTATTTGAAGGTTACCATTCTCCAGGAATGATTAAGTAACTGTAAAGCATTCATTGAAACATCTCAAAACCTATTCAAATGTTTGTGGTGAGACAGTCAAATAGGCAAAGCAGAAACAGAAGCAGATTTTTCTCCTTTTTTTATGGGGGGGGGTACAGAGGGGTTCAATGTTTTTCTAGAAGGGGGAGGGGGCAAGAAAAAATGTGGTGGAGCATTAATGTACATTTACTTTAAATAATACTGCGAGGAAGTGAAGCAACTAGGAAAATAAAATAAATAAATAACATGCATTTCCGAATTTTTTAAATTGACAGGACAGACAGAAACAGGTTATAATACAGAAGCAAATGGTTATAGCATGCATGTTTTGTTTTTTAGGATAAACTACGAGGGACTAGAAAGTATTGCAGTGCACCTCAAAAGGCTCATATAGTTGTAAGGTATTAAACCCCCTAAAATTAAAAAAACCCTGTATAATAGTAAATGAGATTAGTTTTTTTATGCTTCATATAACGTGTCTGTATCTCATAACACATGAGAAGGGGCCAGTCTTATGTTCAGTTGTATTGCACTCCTTCCCCTCCCAATTTTGCCCCTTGCCCAGCCCGTCACTACACCATTATAAATAAGGAATTGACTGCGAGTTACCTACATCCATCTTCCTAGTATACAATATTGATTTCTCCTTGCCTTTAGCATAGCACTAGTTCACAAAGCTCTATATTTTCTCACTAAATATTTTTTTGCAATGTACCAGGAAGAAACCTCGGTTTATATCCACCCACAAGTTTCCCATAGTAAACAATGAAAATAAATTAGTACTTGAAGCTACGTCCAATGTCAAGTATGTGTGAAAGTGAAAGTTCTGCTGTGGGGTTGTATCTACAAAACCATATGTTCCATTGGTAGATAGAATTTTTAATTGCTTGGTAATTTTGTGAATTACTTGAAAATGATATCCTTCCTGGATCTACCACACATAGGCAACATAGTATTATGTTTTTACTATCAACAATGCAAACAATGCCACCTTCTTCATTTAGTTGGGTGATATTTCAAGTCTGAACAACAAAATGACATTCATGACATTTATTTTACATTTGCATCTACCTAGTTCCATTTTTAATGTCTTGATCTTGGTTTCATTCAAGTCTATTCTACATTTGTTACATTCCAGCGGTATCCAGAGATTCCCAAACACTGTCCTGAATATCTGGTGATTGTTGCCGGATGCAAGTCTGATCTACAAAACTATATTTGCATTATTTACAGATTTGTTTCATCATGATTTGACATAGAGTTCTAAACACCTCAGTTCAGGCTCCAAACAGATGATTAAGTCAATTTTTGACAGTTTTCATCACTTTTTTAAGCTTGAACTATTCATCAATTTTTGTCATAATCTTTCAGTGGTTTCCAGAGATTCGCAAACACTGTCCTAAATGTCCAGTGATTGTCGCAGGGTGCAAGTCTGATCTACGAAACGATATTCACGTCATGACCAGGCTTACAGAGATGAAGATGATTCCAGTGTCGCATGATAAGGTATGTTCCAATAGAGGATATGAGTTGCAGATCCAGGATTATTTTATATGGGAGGATCACCATTCCAAAATCTGTGACTATGCAAAGTCCCCTCCTATATTTTTGAACAGCAATAAGATTATCTCTAGCTAATTGTACTATGTGACTAATTCAGAGAGTACACACTATATTGTCAATTGCAATCCTATTTCACCTCTGAAAGTATTTGTATTCTTTTGTGAATGACCTTTAGAAACTGCATGAAAAATTGCAGTATCACTACCGGGTACTCTCATGTAAATCAGCATTGTTGAAAGAACAATATCATTTCAAATTTAAAAGTGCTACTCTCATAAATTCATTAAATATATTGCCAAATTGCCATACATGTATGCGTGGGTCCATTCATTGAAGGGGCACCCGTATCATTGGAGGGGGGCAGCATAATTTCTATCCAGATGGGTGAATTCAGAGGGGGAACCATGATTTTGAAAAGAGGGGTTTGGGATATGACAAGGAAAAATAATGTCATCAAGGTTATCTCTTAAAAGAGGTGCCACATTGTAAGGAAATGCAAACAAATATTTAAAAATAAAGACTGTTGAGGGAGGGCAGAGTGGAAGGGGTGGTATCATCTTCTTTCACGCCTCTTCTTTCTTGCATCACATACATCTCTTTTCTAATGTAACATTCACAATGCTTTAATCATCACTCTAGTCCATTGTAAGTTTTTTGAATAATTGAAAGCCATAGTGCTCCAAAAATTAATTGAATACTTAGTTGGGAGATATTCTTTGGAAAAAAAAAAGATGGTTGGTATATACTGTTGCTTCTGCGCAAACTGGCTGGTTTGCAGACAGTTAAAGGGGAAGTCCACCCTTATAATAAGCTGGTAATAATAAAAGTAAAAGAAAAAAAAGTGAAAGTTTAAGCAATATCCTTTCAAAAGGAGGAAAGTTATGAATTTTCAAAGTTGTCATCAGTGAAAAACAAATTGGCACCACTGTGATGTATGTTGCAAGGTCCTCTCCGTGATGAGTAGCCTAGCTAGAGCCAGGGTAATTTTGGAGCCCCAGGGCCCATGAGTACCGTACATGATGGGTATAAGCTCTAAAATATCCATTACTACTACTACTACTACCATTATTAATTTTATTATTATTATAAGAATTATTATTAGTATTGCTGTTGTCGTTTTCATCAGTATACTTATTATAATCATTATTGTTATTTGTATCAGTATTATTATTTAATAATATTATTATTGTAATCTATAGTGAATGGGCAAAATATTTCAAAATGTATACAAACTTAGAATAATATACATTTATACCTCCTAAAGAAGATGATTGAGTGTCCTTTTAACTTGGTGCTGACTAGTGCTGAGTATAGGGTAATGCATTTTGATCCTCCAATCTCCACTGTTTTGAATGCCTGTCAGATTAACTTGCAAGAAATGTACATCATCACGCTTAAAGATACTATGTCCCTTTTGCAGCCAACCTCAAATTCTGTAGAACTTTGCAGGAATTATGAATATGTCATGTATGTCCTATCTGTGAAATTTAAACGTTAGCAGTGTCCTTATATTCATATTATGCAAGGAAACCCGTTTACTTGCTAGACTTCACTGTCAGACACTATTGTCTTTTTCTGGCTTTTTCTTCTTCTAACATACATAAAATGAGCTGTAAAGGATTTGTCTACATCAATAAACCACTTCTTGTAATGGCCAAAATTAAACTGATTGAATCTTTGTGCAGCATAAAACGTACGACCATGCGGTACAATGGTCTGAAAATCAAGACTATTACCTATTGGCTCTATAGCTCCTGAGTCGATTTGACAACTAATTGTCGTTTTTTGTTCCCACTTAAATACATTTTCAAGCCCCATTTTTTTAAGGGGAGTTCTAAATTAGTATTTTCTTTCAAATGCCATTGGAAATTAACCTTTTCATTTTTTTGGCCTGCAAAAGGGACATAGTACCTTTAAAAGTACATGTAATGGTTCTTACACGCCTATACATACATCCTCTGTAAAACTTTGTTTTGTAGGTATTTTTTAATGAAACTGTGGAATAAAAAACAGAATGTGGTTGCTATAGAAATGGGGTGCCAAGGGCCAAGGGCATTGCATTCAGAAGGGGTGAAAAACATTTGAGGAAAAGGACCTAGGAATCAGAGAGAGGAAAAAGAACTTGAGGAAATCTGCTTAGTTGGAAGGAATAAACGAATGAGGCAAGATTTATTTTGATTGGCAGATTATATTCTTCACATTGGACTGTTCGTGGTGGTTGCAATGTCTACCACATGTGGATTTTTTCAACTGTCTTAAAGAAATTTTATGCTGGAGCATAATGTATGTTATATACCTCACTTAAGAAATCCAGCCATCTGATTGGTCGAAATGGCATTCATAAACTTTAACTAATCCTGCAAAATTCCCGGTAAAATTCCAAACCCATGTGATAGTTCAAAAAAATAGTTCTAAAATCCCAGTTACCATGGTTTACATGTTAAAAAATGGTTTGAGCGATCGCGGATACCGTATGTGTGCGAAGAATTGGTGGGCATTTTTAGTACGGCAATATATCTCGATTCAAACAAGGCAAAAATGGCTGTAGAAACTCTCCCAAGATTTCAACTTCTGGATGAGGATCAAATGCGAGACATGCTGACAGCAAGAACACCAAAAAGGGTACGTGAAATCTTCCATAATTTTTTTTTCAGTAGGCCTAGATCTAGATTCTAGTACGCGACAACCAGATGCTGGTGATTGTAGTGATTTGTACGTCACACGGACAGATGCAGATCCTTCCCGTAGAGATTACACACATCCCTATGCATTTCCATTGGCCATTGCGCACTCGATCATTCTAGATTGGTCGATGTTTTAATTACCAGAGATTCAAACTAATATTGCTCGTGATCCTGAAGGTGATACTCAATAAGTGAGGTGTCATAAGAAAGCGCAGGGTTTTCTCCATATTCCCCACAGGGCCGGTCCACCCCTAAAATTGTAAAAAAATCTTGCTTAGACTAGAATCTAGATCTAGTCTACTCTCAAAGAAACACTCATAAAAAACAACCGTGCAGATAAACAAGAGAAAGGCCAAGGTGGTGTCATATTTTTTTTGGCATATAAAAGTATTAATGACTGCTTTAATATTCAAGAAATAGTTGTTTTTATATGCTCAAGGGAAGGTTACAATAGCCCAATTGTAACCTTCGCGAGAGCATATAAAAAAAACTATTTCTCTCAAAGCAGTCATTAATACTATATTATTCATGTGCACAGGTTTTCCAGCTGCTATTTATGGTTACATATATTTAGCTAAGACTATGTCTTGCCCTCAAAGGTATATGAAGAATGATTAATGAGACATAATGTTGACCGACCACCAACACTGAGCATTATTAGTTTTGTATGTACTTGTATGTAGAAAAAAAAACATTCTTAGAAAAAAAAGCTTTTTGGGGGAAAGAAAACAAATTTGACCCTCGTGTAATTGGTGTAATTGGTGACATACAGTCCTCAAGAGGGCGACATGCATTGATTAAAAATATATTCATTTCACCAGCTGGTTAATATAACATTGGAAAGTGACCTGCCAGGACAATATAACAATTACAACCCTTGCAATGGATATCACATGACAAGCTCTTGACCAATCACATATCGGTATCTGTCTAAGCTATCTAATATATACAGGTATTTCGATTATATTACAAAAGGATCTTGATTTTATTGCAAAAGCATTGTTCATTATATATCCCATTGGAGGTAGATACAGACTACAGATACATACCGGGTATATATTACAAGTACCGGTAAAGAGAAATTGTAAGTTGAAAAGTAACGAAAGTCGGATCGTCATACATGTACACACACTGTTTATGAGGGCAATGTCCTGAAAGATATTTTGAATTGCATTACGTTACCAGGTACCCATTTTTAAACACGAGAGAGACAAGTGTGGGTAAAACACCTTGTCCCAAGATTACAAGCATTTGACATGGATTGAACCCAGGGCCTTTCATATGAGAGTCAAGGGCGTTGATGCGCAGTACTCCCATTACATGATGTCATTTCTTGTATCACAAATGTTAACTCTCTCTCTCTCTCTCTCTCTCTCTCTCTCTCTCTCCCTCCCTCAGGGTAGCACGCTAGCATCCCAGATTGGAGCCGTAGCATATGTAGAGAGCTCCGCGCGGACCAACACATCAGGCGTACGAGAAGTGTTCGAGATGGCGGCCTTAGCATCCATCGGCAAACTCAACCTACAGAAATCCTATGTGGGCTTACCGAATGAAAGCAAAAGACTTTCCATTACCGAGTCGCTGCGTTTCAGGAAAAGGGCGGAGGTGATGACGCCGAAAGTGAGAGTGAAATCAATGGTGATAGACAAAGACCGGAAGTCTTGCTTGGTCATGTGATTCAAAATTTCTGCAGCTCATAGTTTGAAATCAGATTCAAATTTGTAAGGATCATGGACTCAAAACTCTCAACCTGTGATGCAGGATAATACTTGTACATTTTTCCAGGACCTTCAGAATTAGACCTGGACTTGTATGCAGCTATGATTGGAACTTAGAAGTCTTGGCAGGACCAAGACTAGCTGTTAAGACTAGTCCAGAGGAGTCTTTATGTAATTTCACCATTGTTTGTGAGTGGAAATCTTCTGGTCCTGAAGAGTTTGGAATCAGAAAAAGGTTGGTTTCAGAACTGACTGGATCTACAAACTTACAAAGCAGGCTGAAGACAGTGCTGTCATTTCATCAAATGTTCTGATCTTGAAGACTTGATGATCCACAATTCTTGTTTCAGAACTGACTGGATCCACAAAATGGGCAAACGGTCCAAATGTGCTACACTCTAATATACTTCATCATGATTGCGACCATTCTTCTCAACCTCTGATTGTGATTAGTATAATTCAGTCCTATGAAGAGAGACTTCTATTAGTGGTTTTTTTATGTGTGCTTTATTAAAGGAACTTACAAACTTGATACTTAGAGATCCATTTGACAGGCCTGAAATATTTTGTAAAACCAACCTTGGTAAGAAATAGAATACAGGATCTTCCCTTGGAATATAGAGACTGAAAATTCCTACTCAATCCGAATTCCTAACTTCAACACTGGTCCAATCACTATACTAAACCCTTAGTCTATGTATATATAAGAATGCAAACTTTGTGCAGCAAATGACTTAAGCATATACACTAAGCTCTGTGTTCTAAGATGTGAATGGACATGTGACCTGTATTGCACTTTACGTATTGCCCCATCATGTCCTAACGAGCCTTAAACCTGCATCCTCTTAGAAGTAGAGCAAGTGTTGGGGTTACCATTTTATATATAATTAGATTGGATCAATTAAGATCATCAAAATTCTATCATATTGTACAGGTACAGTTACACATTTTTTTGTGAATGCTTCATTGTTCATCTCCTTTTCCTCAATGTTAGAAAGATAGTTAGTGGAATTACCTCACCTTCCATGTGATGAAACATGTGACAAAGGGAGAGGTTACACAGGAATTGTGCAATGTTATTGAGTTGAAAGGCAGTTTCTTAATTATCCTGGATTTATGTGCTTAGAAACTAAGAATGTAATTTGCAAGGATATAGATGTCTATGTCCTTTTACTAATGTCATAAATAAAGCATTTATGGGTCAATTTACTTCCTTGTAAGAAATAAGAGAGTGAAACCATTGAATAATGCCCATAATTAACCAGCAACTAAGAGAGTATTTCATGCTGGCAAATTACTAGTTAATGGAATGGGAGATATAATAGTGCAATTTGCTCATGACCCATATTGTGTTATCGTTGAGTCATAAGGGAAATTTATATGTATGTAAGTTTTACTTAAAGGCGCTCATTATTCAACATTCAAAGTGATATTATACTTACCCACACTACTAAAAAACAATGATTGTATATCCTTCCCACAATGGAATCGGGCAGTTATTGTTATCTGTGTAATTGCCAATGAGATATACATTGTGGAACACTATCATGCTATGGAAAAAGTCTCAATCTCTCTTTCTTATTGTCTCTTATTTCCATTTATTCATCTCACTCTCTCTCTCTCTCTCTCTCTCTCTCTCTCTCTCTCTCTCTCTCTTGCTCTCTCCATCCCTCCCTCTACATCTCTTTTACTCTCTTCCTCCTTCCCTTTTTTTTCTCTCTCTCTCTTACCCATTCTCTTTCTCTGTCTTTTTTCTTTCTCCATATTAGTATGTAAAATCTTTGTTTCCAAGCCTTTTTTGCAACCATAATTTCTTGTTGAATATTTCATTTTCTCCCCCCTTTCTGCTCGGTTTCATTACACTCTTTTTCTCTTCTCATATCTATTACTTCAGCAAAATTGTAATTTAGCATCATGATTCTTTTTTTCGATGAATATTGTATAATCTAAGCACAGCCTTTGATGGATAAGAATGCTCATTATGATCTAAATATCATGTCAGTCAAGACCAATCTTTATTTTTCTAACGACATTATGATGAGCATGATTTATTGAGAAAAGCCAAAAATGTTTAAACCAATTGTCAGAAATAGTGATCTCTAGTGATCTCCTATAGTATTAAATGACTAATGAGATTTATAGGATTTTCTCTGAGTAAAGCTCTGATGTTATTTGGTTTTATACAACACCTACGTGGATCCTTGTCATTTGATTGGAGGATTGTTGGTCACATGATATTCAATAGATGGTATATTGCACGGTCGTGCATTTTTGGTTATATGCGCCGTGCATTTTTGGTTATATGCAGACTGCGTACCTCTCAGTCGTGCGCGCGCGTATCCCTGCGTGTATCTGACGCGAAGGCAATCTCAATGTAATCGAGAAGGCTTGACTCCAACTTTAATTTATTTTTAATATAAGGAGTAAAGCATAATTTGTTGATTAACGTTCTATTAGATCTTCTTCGATGTTGTATAAAACAAATAATGAATGTTTTTCATTCGTTCAATAGTGCAAATATTTTCATTCGTTGAAAGATTAACGTTAATTCTATTCAACTCGGCTGACACCTCGTTGAATAGAATGTTAATCTTTCAACTCATGAAAATATTTGCACTATTGAACTCATAACCATTCATTATTTGTATATTGATAAATGCATGAAAATAGAGTTACAGATAAGTTAAAGTTTGAGCAAAATCTGATGTAAAATGAGAAGTTTATCATTTTTTTTAAATCAATCAAACACAAATTAACAATTCTGGGACATATCTAAATATCTAATAAATGATAACATTAAACTTGCATGCAGAGCTCACATGGAACCCGGCCAAGTCAGACACTGTGCAAGCTCCATACAATGTAAATGTTACTTTTTTAAGGGTCAATTGGGCGGAAGAAGGTGCCCATTTTAGGGATTTTCCTTGAAATGTTTGGAAATGTTTGTGATAAAGGGACCCATTAGAGTGGCACATCCCCGGAAGAGAAACAAGTGCAATTGCATAGTTTTTATCTTATGGTTATTAAATCCCTTCGCCTCTCACAAGTATGGAGTGTTATTGTTACCTTAGAATTTATTCATGCCAATAATCAGAAGTACATGTAAATGATTAGTGGGATTGCAAATCTCCATGGTTTGAGAGTCAGAGACATATTGTAATGTACATTTTTTGCCACATATTGCCATGTAAATCTTAGTTATTACATTATTTTGCCCTTCTCAAGTGTAGAACATTAATATATATATATATATTTATTTTGTTAAATCTTTTAAAATGAGCATTATTATATTCCCAGAAATTATTTATGTCAATAATCAGGGAGAGGGATTACCAGTAGTATGAAATAAGTGTTAGGATTTACAGGATTTTTTTTCTTCTTCTGTGTAAATCTGTATTCAAAGGGTTTTGGAGTCAGAGAGACACTGTACCAATGTACGTTCTTGATTTCATGGTTATTACATCCTTTTCCCCTCTCACTGGTATGGAGCATTATTACATTTCCATTGCAAAATACTTACCAATAATCAGAGCTTGCCAGTATGTATTAAAGGACTAATGAACTTACAAGTTTTTAGAGTTGTAGAGTCAGAGAGACACAGTGCACACATCTCGATTCCGAATAAGATTGCAAATTCCACTCGTTAAGATAAACAATACTTTCATCGTGCCTAGTACAACAGCCAGAAATCTAGGTGTGATGTTTGATCAGAATACTGCTAAGGACAAATTTGGTTCAGGGAAGTTTAAATTGGCACCGTTTGAAAAGGTTCATCAATTTTTGGATACTTGGGTTTTGGGAAAGCAGTAAGAAACTTGTACAGTCTCTTGTGATATGTAATTTAGACTACTGTAATAGTTTGCTATATAACATCTCAGATTCTAAGCAATTCAGACTCCAAGCAATTCAGACTCCAAGCAATTCAGAACGCCATGTGGCATGATTGATACTCTCACATTATCCCTGTCTTAAAACAGTTACATTAGCTCCCAGTCCAATCACCCATCAATTTCAAAATACTTTTACAGACCTATCAATGTCTTGATTCAATGGCCCAATAATATCTGAATGAGGGCTTGAAAAGGTAAAGGTAAAAATCTCTTGAAATGTCCAGTTGTTCAGACCAAGTTTTACTTATGATGCCCTGTACTTTGAAACACTATCCTATCCCATACGAAGGAAGCAAGCATCCACACATTATTAGTTTAAAAACCTTCTGAAAACATACTAATGTTTACACAGCACCTTGACTGAGTACAGTCTGGCATTTACAGCATTCAATATCTTTCTTCCTAAGCGCTTAGAATCGCTATGGCAGTGATATGATTGAATTCAATTGAATATGCCCTATGAAAGCACTGTAATACCATTATTATTATATATTATTATTATTATCATCATTATTGTTATTATCATTGTTATTATTATTACTATTATTATCATTATTACATTCCATATCTTAAGGTTGCCATTCACCAGTTTGGAGCTTTGTTTCCTTAGCTGGTAGTATTGATTTACTGGGCAAGGCCAAGCTATTTTGTTTTATTTTCAAATGGGCTTTATTCAGTTTCCTTAAGAAGATAATAACTAACGCATAAGGCATAGTATCATAAAATGATGGGTACCTGGTTTGTATTATTTGTCCTCATTTTTCAACTTTTTTTTATTTAGTAAGTGTAACCATGTGAAATTAAATTTTGTATAGGTCATTTTCTTGCCAAATTAGTAGTAAAGGTTTATTTTCATGTTTAGACCCTTTCATAATCGGATGTAAATTTCACTTTATTTTGATGATGTGTTGCTCAATGTCAGATAGGAACGACTCATGAATAAAAGATTGAGAAAAAAAATGAAGGGTAAATGAATTATCATATATGACTGAGAGTTGTTTTTGTATGTCATCAAGGACAGAATGGGTCGTAATTTTGCCAAATGTAAAAATGAGAAAAGGTGTATACATATAAGAGGAAAGTTTAGAAGAAAAAGACATTATCAAACAAAAAACACTTTCTTTGAAGCATTTGTTTTTTGTTCTTTTTAACATGTATTTATGACTGGGAGCTGACCTATAATGACACCATCCAAAAACTTGACTCCTGTTCAAACTGAGGTCTGGTCATAGCAGGGGTGTAAATCCGGGGGGATGGGGGGCTGCATCCCCCCTGGCTTGAAGTAGGGGGGATGGCCTGTACAATCATCCCCCCTGATATTACCACCAACCAAAAAGAGAGAAAAAAAGGAAGAAGAAGAAGAAAAAAAGGTGATTGTTTCAATTTCAGCGTAATGCATGAGAAGTGTGATATTTTTTTTTATTTATGTGTAACTGTATAGCCTACACGTATACAGTATGTCACGATCATTAAGAGTAGTTGCGCGACGTGCGCGAACAAGCACTTCATAAACTTCAAAATAATTTTTCGTTATTTTAAAAGGTATTATTATAGCCCATGCAGACGTAAAGTGCGCCAGCGCGCGAGCGCTTAAAAAGTGCAATCTTGTACAGTTGATGCCCGGCTTTTCCTGCCTTGGAGACCCCCCCCCCCCCCCCGAATCCGGAACACTGCTAAATGTACCAAATCCCCCCCCCCCTCCCCCCCCCCCCAAAAAAAAAAAAAAAAAAAAAATTCAGGTGAGCTCTAGTCGATCGAGGGGGACTGGGAGCCGATGTTTTTACTTTTTAAATTTTTTTAAAAATCCTGAATGAGCTTTCAAAGCTAGCAGGAATTTCAGGAATTTGATCCCGGGATTTGATCAATTTTTCTATGAAATTCAAGATATTTTATAACCTCCTTTTTACATTTCTCAGGATTCCAAAGAGAGAAAGAAACTAAGAGTCGAGAACGGTACAACGAATCGTCTTCTTTCTCTAATGATTTAATGAAACGAAAAAGCTTCCGCGCTTCGCGCGGGTGGGGGAAGGGAAAAACTGAATTCAGATGAGGATTAAAAGTCAAGAACGGAACAACGAATCGTCTTCTTTCTCTAATGATTTAATGAAACGTAAAAGCTTCCGCACTTCGCGCGGGATGTGGGGAAGGGAAAAACTGAATTCAGATGAGGATTGAAGGTCGAGAACGGTACAACGAATCGTCTTTTTTCTCTAATGATTTAATGAAACGTAAAAGCTTCCGCGTTTCGCGCGGGAGGGGGGAAGGGAAAAACTGAATTCAGATAAGGATTAAAAGTCGAGAACGGTACAACGAATCGTCTTCTTTCTCTAATGATTTAATGAAACGTAAAAGCTTCCGCGCTTTGCGCGGAAGGGGGGAGGGGAAAAACTGAATTCAGATGAGGATTAATATAGTCGAGAACGGTACAACGAATCGTCTCCTTTCTCTAATGATTTAATGAAACGTAAAAGCTTCCGCGCTTTGTTCGGGAGGGGGGGGGGACTGAATTCAGACGAGGATTATTTTCGAGAACAGTACAACGAATCGTCTTCTTTCTCTAATAATTTAATGAAACTTCAAAGCTTCGGCGCTTTGCGGAGGAGGGAGGGGGAAATCGCCCCCCTCCCCCATTACGCCAATGCTGGTCACCATTACGTACCAATATTTGGCTCGCATAATTTCAAATTTGGCCCCCCCCCCCTAAGAAATCCTGGATCTGTGTATGTATGCATGTATAAATTTATGTACATGCGCGTGGAATTACACCCCTGG